AACACCTGTCAAGGTGACTGTGTTATCAAAGTCTTATTTCTCATCAGCCCTCAAAATGGACAAGAACTGTCTTCTCTGCCAAAGACGCAAGACTCTTCCTTGTGCCTGTAAGTCTACCTCTATGTCTTCAATTTACTGTCTTCCTTAGGTTTCGGATAAGTCCACATACCTATAAACTTAGTCCTTCTTGCTTTGCTGAGCTGCTGACACAGAAGTAAAAGCTCTGCTAGGCATAAGCCTTGAGGAAGGCTGAGTCCAAGTCAGGCAGCTCATTATTTATGTGACGATGCTTTTGTTCTCATGAGCGTCTTTCCCACAGATTCCTAAGTCTATTCACAAAAGAGACTCCTAATATTTTGTAGCTGGAAATGATGAGATATTCATGTAAAATATATGTAAGTTTCAAACAGCAAGAAAAAATTGTTTTTCATAGAACACCTGTCCTCCTTTGTTTTGATTTTTAGAAAGTGAAAAGTATTGCATTACAAAACTACTAAAAGCACCTATAAAAATAGAGCTTCCCATTACATTCTGAATAGCTGACATTCCACAGAAAGTGTGCACCAGGACTCTGCTGCCAAAACCAGCGTCAAAAGGAAGAACACAAGGAACATTCTTTCTTCAGGAATCCACATAGCTATTTTATCTTGGAACTGATTGGCTAAGTGGCTTCCAATTTTCCCATATGAGTACTTCATTGATATCTTTAAGATATCACACTTAACAATATTTAAAGTGTGTATTTTTCTAAAGCAACACACTTTCCCCTGATTAGCACCAAAACAATTACATAATTTTAAGTAATTACATATTTATATAGGCTATACTATCTTCTTAGCCATTGAAAAATCTATACTGTACTTTCAATTACTGCTTTGCAATTGTCCCCACAGTTGAGTACCTTATAGCATTCTATTCAGCTAGTTCACTGGTCTCATTTACTGGCAAATCATTTTTATTAGGACTTTTAATAATTTACATCTTAAACTTAAAATAGAATAAGTATAAAGGTCTGAAAATTCTGGAAGCAGAGGTTCAGTTGCCTGACACAAAACATATTTCAAATTATTATGGTTTGTATATAAATTCTTCAGCTTCAGAAATCACTTCATTTTGATTTCAGAGAAGCAAATATCACTGTTATAGACATAATTTACTGTGGTTGTAAACTTACTTTTCATGTGAACTGCTTTCTTTATATGTTCTTCATCAACTATTTTGCTGTATTAAAAAATGTTGGGGAAGAAAATGAAACTATGTGATTCTTATCATTCCCTTAATTTAGTATGTAACATAGAAATCTGTGAAGTATACAATTTAGATTTAATAATGATGGTATTACAGGCAGCTGAGCTAAAAATTAACATGCAGTCAGGGAGGGATGGGTCCTCAGAAGAGTATTGCAGAAGAGGAGAACATACCAAAACAGTGTGTAAGCCATCTGAAGAAGGCCGAGCCCCAAGAGGAAGATGCAATTCCAGGCCTGCACACCTCCCTAAGAGATATGCAAGAACTTCAAATTACAGTGCAATTATCACCACCTAGTCCTAGAAGGCTAGAGAGGCATCAGTCATTCAAGTGAGTGACCAGAGCATTGGATCCATCTCTTCTAAAAAATGCCTCTCTTCTTTCCATGTACGCTTTCTGTGTGGCTCATTTCCCTACTGGATCAGTATTAGCTAAGCAGCCTACTTGTAATCCCATAGATGCATTTTTGATTGACCCATGTTGTTTTACTGTATACATTACTCCTGAAAAAACGCTTCTCACCACCCACTCTGGCCCACTCATGGGGATCCAAGAGCTATTCTTTCCTGATTTCCAGTAACTTCTTCCTTTGGTTTGTGACTTCATTACTCAATGTTGTGGAGTCATGAACTTAGCACATCTAACAGGTCAGAAGTTACATTTCTCCTTTATCAGTGCCAGTAGAGGAGTGGTATGGCAGAGGATTTCACCTAACACTGAAATACTTCATGTAACTGAAGAAGGTCAGAATATGTCATCCTAAAACATGCCACTTTAGCATAAGGATCATTTTGAGCTAAAGGGAACTGAAAAATCAATATAAAAAGAGTTCTCTGTCCCCATTTTTTTTTTTTGCATAAAATTAAAGTGTAAACTGCTCTTTGAGGAAGATATCCCTTTCTCCTCTTCCACTCTTATTCCCTGGTAGCAGTGAGAGTGATTCAGCATACAAGATGGAGATTTTACAGCAGGATGAGACTAAACAAAAACCCAAATAAAATAAACCTTACTAAATGTGAGTCAAGACTAGTAATAACTCGTAAAAACAAAACAAAACAAAAAAAGGAAAAATCTTCACAGCAGTCAGAGAGAAAGAATGCTTTATTTTTAGGAGGAAAATAATTAGAGTGACAGATTTTCATCAAACAGCAAAGGCCTCAAGAAAAATGGGGGGGGGGCGGGGCGATGGCTCAGTGGAATAAGCGCTTCCTGGCAAGCTCAAGGGCCTGAGTTCAACCCCCGGTTCCGAAAAGAAAAGAAAAATGTGGGACAACATTGAAAGAAAAGAACAAGCCATTCTTTATCTGGCTAAACTATCACCAAGGAAGGAATGAGACATTTTTGGAAAAAGTAAAACTAGTAATTTTTTGTTAGGCAAGAAAGACTAATGAATGTTCAAGAAGGGAAATCATAAAAGAAAGGATCTTGGAGCATCAAGAAAAGCAAACCATGAGATGAGTAGCAAACAATAGGTGCTCTTCAGGACTGAGGAGGAAGAACCACTTGCACGGCATGCAGTGACACTGCACCATAGTGTAAGAGACCTGAGGGTGGACCATGACTGCAAAAGCAGCCTGAGTAGTAGGGCTGTGCAGAAGCAGAGCTGCCATCTTTATTTTACAGCATAGTGTTCAGCTTCTGACTTGCTTGGACTATACGGAGTGAAGAGGAATTATTTTGGGCTCTAAATGAAATAATGAATTTTTAAACATTTCAAGTTAATGAATTATATTGTTAAATAAATGATACAACAAGCCTAATTTTAATGAGAAAACTTGCATGTCTGCCTCATACAATCAATGCCTGCCTCCCCAGGCACAGTGAAGTCATAGTTCAAATACTGTTACTGGCAATTGCTGTATTTTCCTCAGCAGATCACACAAGTACACATGCTCTCTGATACACATAGGCTTTGACTGAACGGCCTATGTGGTGAGTGCAAGAAGCAGAGTCAGCACTGCCCTGTGCTCTGCTCTACACAGCATTCTGTTGGTGTTGACTCCTTTGCCTACACTTGAATGTGTAGACACAAAAAATATTGCTAAAAATCACACAATAATGTTAAAATTTTACCGTATTGTGAGGCCTCATTACTAGCAGTCCAGGGCCACAGGTAGCCTGTGGGTCTCATGGTGGACATGTCAATTTTTCAGCACACACATGGGTCTGCCCCAGTATGGCAGACCTTCTTGGCTGCCCACCCATGGGCAAGACTACCTTTCTTCACAGATAATAAAATTATGAGTTTGTTCAAAGCCAGGAGTTATGTAATTTAGGGGAGGTTCTTCTCTCACTGGACCTATAGACTGGATCATGGCTATCAATGCCAACTGTGATCCCATACACTTTCCAATACAGCTGGCTCTTCAACTTTGTGGGTTCTGCATGCATGGATTCAACCAATGCCAAATCAAAGATACTCTAAAAAGAAAAGAGATCTTTACTGACTGTGTGCAGACTTTCTATTTGTCATTATTCCTTAAATAATACAGTATAGCAACTATTTATATAGCATGTACTTTTCATTACATACTATAAGTAACCGTGAAATAATTTCAAGTATTGGCTATATGTAAAACTTACATTTTATCTGAGGAAGAGGAACATCAATGAATTTGGGTTATAAGGGTTAAAAAATTAATGTCCACAGATACCAAGAAACTTGAGAAGAATTCTAATTAAGGATTCATTACCAGATGCTATCTAAAGGGCTCTTGAGAACACTTTTCCAAATGGATAAAGAGAAAGTACACAATGAAGTATTATTCCTCTTTTCTGACTTTGCAAATCATTGTGATTTCTGAAATGAAATGATCCACTTAACACCATAGAGAGCCTGAGCATGAAGATAAGCCCACAATAACATCAACCAGCACATGGAAGCAATACAGTTTCTTATGACATCATTGAAGGGCCGAATTAACAAAATGTAGCAGGAAGCCTATCTTTAGGCTCAGCTTACGCTAAATATTTTTTTATGTATTTCCCAAAACTGTATCAACATCACATTAAATGTTTTAGCAGTCTATTATATGAATGTATATAACAATGTAGCTATCACCCTTAAGTTAGTTTTGTTCTTTTATTTCCATCAGTACAAAGGAGGATGTAAAGAGCATCTTTTAATATAAAACTTTACCTGAATTTGCATGACCTATTGTCAGAAAAGAAATTACTGAAATGATGTGAGCATTTTAAAATCTTATGATAAGTAGTATAAATTGAATTCCAGAAAGCACATATTTAATAAATTCCTACTACTCTTGTGTGGCTTTTTAAAATATATTCCTTTCAGTCATTATTTTCCCTGTGATTTTGTTGAGAAAATCTTGGTTTAAAAGTCCCAAATAGTTTGAATTAAAAATTTTTAAATAACAATTTTTTCCTTGAGTCTTTTTATAGAAAATATTTATAAACTCATAAAAAATTCAAAGGAAAAAAATTTTTTGTACATTCATTTTTTTGACATTCATTTTTGTACCCCAAGGTAAAACACAAAACTATCTATGCATCACAATAGACAATTGAAAATAGACTGTGTGTTTCATTTATAAAGACTAAGTAATACATTAAATAAAATGGCTAAATAAACAAAGGAGTAGACATCCCTTTTCAAAAAAATTCAAATTGGAGAATCTTGAAGAGTAAAAAATAATGGTTATTACTTTGGACTATACAATCAAAGAAATCATGTTTAATTAAAAATGACTTTCATAGACATTAGAAAAAATAAATGAGCATAAAGTACTTACAAATCAAACACCAAGTAATGAAATCCTTCCTCTGATATGCTGTCATGAAGTCGTACTGAAAATAAAGAAAGAGAACAAAGTACGCATTATACTCACGCCAACTCTCAGCATGAAGCCCATCTCCTCGTGGGCACCTGTCTCCCATACAGCAGTGATCTCCATTTTAGCCTCAGATAAGGCAGTGTCTGTTAGGTTTCAGACAGGCTCCAAGTTTTGGTTTTGGTTCTGATAATGACATTAAGTCTACAAGTTTAACTTACAATGATATTAATACTTGTACATCATATAATGGTTGAGATTAAATGACACAATAAAATTAAATGATCCATAATTGCTAGGTAAGAACTACATAAATGTCAGTGACCATTATATATCCAAAGTCGCCAGGTTCTCACAATTCTGCTTCCTGACATTCCTCTCAGCAACCCATGTCCTGATCATTGCAGCAGGAGAACAAGAGGGATCACTGGAGGCTACACTCTCTGCCTGCCTCTGCTCTCCTATTTGTCCTGGAATTTTCACATAGCATTCTCTAGCCCATCTTCCAAAGCCCAGTTGATTGAAAGGAGAAGGAGAGGGAAAGAGAAAAGGAGGTAAAAAGAATTAAGATATATTAGGTACCATGCTGCCACAATGCATGCAATCATTATGTGCTACAAACATATATTAATAAAAATTAAAAATAACTCAAAATAAAAACTAAAAACTAAAAACCACAGTTTCTATGTTCATTACTCAAGTAACCAAAACCTTATCAACTCACTAACTAAAAGTGAATAGTTAGAACTTTGATAAAAATAATTATACCTTCTTCAAATTCATACATATTTTCCAGTAAGCTAGACTTATACTACTTCTTGCTGAAATCAATATATGCCTTTTCTGAACTTAAAACACTAGCTGGTTCATGCTATACCAAACCACATATATATAAATTACATACTGTTTTATCCATTTATTTTTGCATAATCTCTCCTCTTGGTTTACCCCCCACAGATGGTAATTCCTCCTATTTATCCAAATCCCTTGCAGAGATGGCTTGTCATTGTGTACAAGAGATGGCAGGGAAAGCAACAAAACTGCACAACACAACTGCTTTCATAAAAGGACAAAGATGATCTATCATCTATTCTTAGTATACTACCGATACAGTGATGACCACTATATGGAAAATGTCTCTTAAAAAGAACATTTAAGTTATCCTGGAAGCTACAATCACCTGGAGGTGCAATCTATAGCACCTGTGGAATTCCACTCTCCATGCTTTCCATCCAGAGCCACCTCCTCTGGATCTTGGGACAACTAGTGTGGAATATCAATCAGCTGGCTTTCGGTGTTTGTGGAGCACACCAAATTATAGGAAAATATACCCCAAATTACAGATAATTACTTATACAATGTGAATCTGTCCATAGTTAACTTGAAGAAAAGGCTTATAGTGGAGGTAGTTGGGATGGTAGCCAAACTGAGACTTGAAATGTTTTGCTTGAATGCCTGACACAAATATAGTGCAGTCTTCTTCTCTTATTATTTTGTCATAGTGTCACCATGAATTCACAGATACAGCACATTTTATCTTTATTTCGTAAGTGGAATCTTTTTCTTTAAAGATCTAGAACTTCCTTCTCATAAATGTTATTAAGTTGGAACCATATTTTTTGAAACTGTAAAAGAATATTTACTGAAAAGTAAGTTTGAGACAAATTTTAAAAATGAGATTATATTTAATTTTGATTTTCAAAATTACTGTAATTGTACATATTTATGGGGTACAGTGAGCTCATTCAGTATGTGTACAGTGCCTAATGGCCAAATCAGAAGAACTGACACTTGTAGATCCTTACACACTTAAAATATTTTTTTAAACAAAAATGTCCATATGAACAGAACTCCCTTCTGCTGTTCATAACAGCTTTAGTAATATTTCCTCAAACAGTTTCTCCACATATGCACCAGAATTTGTAGTTTTGGAACCATATTTTTACATCTTTGCATCTTACACAGAAATCTGGTACATGGTAGTCTTTTTCAAATACTTACCATACCAAGATTTTATATAGAACAATTTGTCAAAGACTAGTAAAGTTATTCCTGTCTAAATTAAAATGACTGATATGCAAAGAAATTCATGTAAATTTAGCTGTGTGAGGTGCATTCTTCAGTTTTCCAATATCATAAATGTTGCTCACCTTTATTTAAATTTAGGCTGCTGAAGAAAACTGAAGAGTTCTGTATGATAAAGTATGTTCTGATCAAAATTATTTAGCCCTGTAAAGAGATAGGTCATGGCCTATATCTTAGTGATTTTCTTGACACAGTTTCAGAGATGCCTAAGAAAATTAGTGTTTAAATGAGTTCAAGTAAAGGCATGGCTTTACTCATAACTCACTGAATTACTCTGGAAAACAAGTTGAAGTCCGATGTTAACAAAGCTAAAATGAAAATTACAATTCACAATATGTTCAGAGGGAAACAACTTTGTTCTTCCACGACTCAAGGAAAATGCTTGATGTGGAGGTGGGCTCTTGGGGTGTTGCTCAGAGTACAGCCCAAGAGAGAAGGCGATTTCAGGTGCAATTCTAGAAGCAGTATTAACTGAAAGTCATATCAAGAATAAAACTTTCTAAAAAAAGAATAAAACTTTCTTAGTATGACTAACCATTCTCTTAATCAAACTTGTAAATGACCACCATCTGGAAATGAACTCTTGTGACAAGTCATAAGTTGCTAAAAATGCAAGCCTGAGATCACGTTCAGGATACAAAACCACTTAGCCAACAAGCATGTGATAATGGTTCAAGACAAAGCAACTGTCCGGGCTCACTCCCTGGCATCACACAAATGCAAAAACAATCTCAAATACATCTTTCCAGTCATCTGACCATGTGCTATTTAATCACAACAAATGATATATCATAGAAAAATCAACATTATTTTTACTGGGGATTACTACAGACATATTTTTCTTCTTTCTTTATTCTGTCCTTTCTCATGCCCTTCCTTCCTTACATGGTTTTTAAAGTAAGAAACTAGAAAAACAATTACATGGAATCATTGCGACTTTCACTTATCCATTGTTATCTGACAGTCTTCAAGAACATGTTTTCAAGGATTGGGATGCATTTGTTTCCTTGTATGATTTTTAAGTCTTCCATTCTGTTGTCAGAGTAGATCCACCTACATCTAGCAGACAATTTTATGCAGCCTGAGATATCATGTTTTTCATCTTGTCTGTGCTATATGTCAATTGCCACCCTTATTTTGTTTTTAACATTTTTTCAAGAGTTGAAAAATCTGTTCAGTTTTGCAAAATGTTACATTAATTGTTCTCTATAAATAGCTGTTGATTCATTCTCACACCAAAGGAACTGCACAAGGTCCTGGTTGCTCATGTGACACTGTGTCACTGTGCAGGTCACAGCTGTTCTACCAAGACTGCGTGGCCAGCTCTGCCGTGCCACGGCTCATGAGGCTGAAGGACTGTGTATGGTGCTCTTGGTACAACTGTCACTTCCATAAGCTGTACACATGGGCACACACAATTGGCTCAATTACGATGTTTTTAGAGAGAAATTTTAAGGAAGATAATGAAAGCAGCATTTGAGAAAACTGATTAAAAAGCATCTTGGCAGTCCTTTCCTGAAGTCTGCTCAAAGTTTAGGAATAAATTAATTTTCATAAACTAAAACAATATTATGGTTACCTGGAATAAAATTTTCATTTTTAGAACTTTAAGTAATAGACTTCTAAAAAAAAAAAGTGTCTCTGAGGTTAAACTACTTTCAGAGGTTGGCTGACCTACACCCACAGGTAATTCTCTTCTCCTCCCTGCATATGTTCTCAATTTGTTAGTTTATGTTCAAGTCATCACAAGATCACTATTTTCTCTTCATGTCTCATGTGCTTGTATTATTTCATTAAGTCTTAGGTAAGTGTTAGCACCTCAAAGAAGGGTCAAATTAGATCAGAGCCCTTGTATAATCTGAGAAAAAATTTACAT